GCACTTTGGGAGGCCAAGGCAGGTGGATCACCTGAGGTCAGGAGTTTGAGACCAGCCTGGCCAACATGGTGAAACCCCATCTCTACTAAAAATATAAAAAATTAGCCGGGCATGGTGGCACACATCTGTATTCCCAGCTACTCGGGAGGTTGAGGCAGGAGAATTGCTTGAACCCAGGAGGCAGAGGTTGTAGTGAGCTGAGACCGCGCCATTCCACTCCAGCCTGGGCAACAATAGTGAAACTCTGTTTCAAAAAAAATAAAATAAAAATATAAGAGCCTCACTTATCCTCCAAGGTGATATAAGCTACACATGCACACACATACACACACACCCCTACACACACACTCTACAGTAATATATGTGCATATAAATGTATATATACTACTATGTATATATTATACTAATATATTTACATATAATTTACATATATGTACATCAATATATTAGTGTGATATATACTATATTTGTGTAATATATGTATATATTCATTTATTACTGTAATATATATTATAGGATTATATTCTTATGGATAAGCAACAGAAGTGATTTCTTGAGATGAAATCTACTCTGGTGAAGAGGCTATGACGTTGTTGAAAGGACAACAAAGAATTTAGAATATTCATAAACTTAGTTGATAAGACAGTGGCACAGTTTGGGAGAACTGACTGCAATTTTGAAAGAGTTTCTCTACTGTGGGTCGAATGCTATCAAACAGCATTGCATCCTACAGAGAAATCATTCAGGAAAATAAGTCCATTGATGTGGCAAACTTCACTGTTATCTTTGTTTAGGGAATTGCCACAACCACCCCAATGTTCAGCAACCACCACCCTGATCAGCCAGCAGCCATCAACACTGAGGCAAGACCTTCTACCAGCAAAAAGATTATGACCCTCTAAAGTCTCAGGAGATCATTAGAATTTATCAGCAATCAAGTATTTTAAAATTAAGGTGTGTAGCTTGCTTTTTAGACATGATGCTATTGCACACTTACTAAACTTTAGTATAGTGTAAACATAACATTTACACACACTGAGAAACCAAAAAGGCCGTGTGACTCACTTTCTTCTGACACTCGCTTAATTGCCGCCATCTGGTACCAAACCAGCAATATTTCCAAGGTATGCCTGTATGCACATCATATCCTATAGGATGCCAAAGGCAGGTAGAACTCCTATGTTGCCTTACCTGAGACAAGGGTAACATATAGCCTCGGTATTTCGTGGGCAAAAATTCAGTCTTTATGATTAACCTAAACAGGAAGCGGGAAAAAGCACAATTTTGTTTTAAAAAAACTAAATAATCTTTTAAAAAATAATCAGTTTTTCTTGTCACAGGGATAAAGAATTCAAAAGCATAGATGTCGATTATATATCAGAAGAGAATTGTGACAGCTAATATCCACATAAGAGAACACTAAGAACTAAACTGACAGCTGCTCCTGAGTTTACATCTTTACTCCCAATACTTGAAACCTTCTAACACTTAAGAAATGTAAGCCTGCCCGGGTGCGGTAGCTCACACCTATAATCCCAGCACTTTGGGAAGCCGAGGTGGGTGGATCACCTGAGGTCGGGAGTTCAAGACCAGCCTGGACAACATGGAAAAACCCCGTTTCTGCTAAAAATACAAAATTAGCCAGGTGTGGTGGCGCATGCCTGTAGTCCCAGTTACTCAGGAGCCTGAGGCAGGAGAATCACTTGAACCCAGGAGGTGGAGGTTGTGAGGAGCCGTTATTGTGCCATTGCATTCCAGCCTAGGCAACAAGAGAAAAACTCCATCTCAAAAAGAAAAAAAAAAAAAAAGAAAGAAATATAAGCCTTATCTGTTTTGCCAAGGGAAGCACTGGCAAAATGTTTTCCCAAGCCTGATTCCCTTTTCTTATTTATTTATTTATTTATTTATTTATTTATTTATTTATGAGACAAAGTCTAGCTGTCTCCTAGGTTGGAGTACGGTGGTTTGATCACAGCTCACTGCAGCCTCACACTCCTGGGCTCAAGAGATCCTCTCACCTCAGCCTCCCAAGTGGCTGGGATTACAGGTGCTCACCACCACACCCGGTTGATTTTTTAATTTTTTGTAGAGATGGGATCTTGCTATATTGCCAACCCTGGCCTCAAGCAACTGTTGCACCTCGGCTTCCTAAAGGGCTGGGATTACGGGGGTGAGCCACTGCACTCAGCCTGATTCTCTTTTCTAAAACATATTGGCAAATGAAAATACACCCAAGAGAAGGTAAATAGTTCTCTCAATTCATGAGGACAGTCAAGGCACAAGTTTCTAATTAAGTACATATTTTCTTTGTGAATAGAATAAATGGAAACATATTCCATCAGTTTTCTAATTGCTCTTCTCTGCTGCTGTTATTAGCCAGAATTTGGGGATTTTAACGTATTTATTGAGCTGTTTCCTGGGGAATGTTTTACATTTTTACTTAGCTTCTACTCCTTTAGGGCTTCAAAGCTCAAAGTTTACAGTATGCCCCAGGGAAGAACAATTCTTTCTCTAACACATGAAGGCAGTAATTAGGTGCTTTGACATCTCCTAAAATATTTTAAGAATAACCTGCTCCAAGGCACTAAGAAGAGAAGAGCCCAAGGGGCCCTGTTAATTCAAGGGGTGGGGAATTCCTGCAACTGAGGGTTCTTCCCTATTTTAGGCCATTTAGGGTAATTTCTGGACATTGCCATGCATTTGCAAGCTGTCCTGGCACCAGTGGGAGTGTCTTTTGGCATGCTAATACATTATCATTAGAGTATAAAAAGCAGTGAAGACAACCAGAGCTCGCTTTGGTCGCCATCTTGGTTTTAGTGGGTTTAGGCCAGTTTCTTTACCACACCTTGTTTTATCAGCGGGGTCTCTTGTGACCTGTATCTTGTGAAAGCAGTCCTGCTGATCGCCTATCTCTTCCTGTGACTAGGAACACCTAACCTCCTGAGAATGTGGTCCAGCAGGTCTCAGCCTCATTTTACCCAGTCCCTATTCAAGATGGAGTCACTCTAGTTCGATCCCATCTGACATATTCCCCCCCTCCCTTTTACAAGAGGACTCTTCAATCATAGGGTGATAGTACTTAAAAATAGTTACTCCTAAATGTTACAGGGGCTTATGGTCAAACTAAACTCTTCCAACAAATTTAAGAAATTAATAAATGATGTTTGGATTGACTTCAAAAAAAATTTTTTTTTTTGAAGAGAGAGGGTCTCACTATGTTGCTCAGGCTGCTCTTGAACTCCTGGGCTCAAGGGATCTGCCTCAGTCTCCCAAAGTGCTCAGATTACAAGCGCGAGCCACAACGCCCAGCCTGGGTTGATATTTTTGTTACCTAATATGGCACTTTTCATTAGCATTTACTGTAACAAAATATTACACATCTACAAAACAATGAATAACCTTATGAAAAAACAAACACATGCTTGATCTAGCACTCTGTTAGCCTCACCATCAAGCATCATTTTAAGGAGAAAATTGCTCCTGCTGGAGCATTAAATAAGCAGCTATCACTAAAAACCAAACAAAGCTCAAACTGAATTTGCACAAGTGACTTCCACACATCTGTAACTTATTAATGCTGTAAATCGGAAATAAAATTTGAAGCATCCCGTCCCCCCACCCCCATTCACCTCCCAACCACCACCATCTGAATGGATTCCCTCCTCAGCCAGGATACTCTAAAATTTAACCTGAAAGACTGGTTCAGGCCACGACAGGAAGTGCGGTCGGACATGCCTCATTATACCTTTCCAGTATTAACATCAACGCAGACCTTAAGTCGGTAAGAAACATTTACAATCTATTTTCTCTGAAGCTGGCTACCTGGAGGCTTCATTTGCATGATAAAACCTTGGTTGTGGAGACCAGAATGTCTTAAACTAGACATTCTTTTCTACTGACAACTCTTTCAACCAATGCCAATCAGAATATGTTTAGATCAGCCGGGCATGGTGACTCACACCTGTAATCCTAGCACTTTGGGAGGCCAAGGCAGGTGGATTACCTGAGGTCAGGAGTTCAAGACTAGCCTGGCCAACATGGCAAAACCCCATCTCTACTAAAAATACAAAGAATTAGCCAGGCATCGTGGCAGGCATCTGTAATCCCAGCTACTTGGAGACTGAGGCAGGAGAATTGCTTGAACCCAGGAGGCAGAGGTTGCAGCAAACTGAGATTGTGCCATTGCACTCCAGCCTGGGCAACAGAGCAAGACTCTATCTCAAAAAAAAAAAAAAAGTCATATGTTTACATCTACCTGTGGTCTGGATTTACATCTACCTGTGGTCTGGAAGCCCCCCACCCTTTGAGTTGTCCTGCCCTTCCAGATGGAACCAGTGTCAATCTTACATGTATTAATTGATGTATTACGTCTCCCTAAAATGCATAAAACAAGCTCTACCCCGACCACCTTGTGCATGTGTCCTCAGGGCCTCCTGAGGCTGTATCATGGCCACATCCTTAACTTTGGCAAAAATAAACTTTCTAAATGGACCAAAACCTGTCTCAGATATGCTGGGTTCACAATGCTTTTGGTCCATTAAGTGCGGTGTGTGCATCAGGACCTGCAGGGGTACACATTTCTGTCTCAGGCCCTCTGGGTGACATATTTACCCCTGTGAGTGGCCGGACACACCACAGCCCACCATCGTCCGCAGGAAGACAAACCAGACGTACGAAGGAGCAAACGAGGTCAGCAAGGAGAAATAGGCTCCCCACAGGAACGAGATGAGCAGAATCTGAAACAACAGAACACATGAATGGGACCTGCCTCAATGCGGGGAGGGAAGAAGCCCTAACATCTGAAGGTGATTTTCTGTTTCCATTCTGATAGTTGCTTCTCTGAGGAGCTAATCGATAGCCAGCCCAATGGTCTTCACAATCATCCAACAATACAATCCATGCCACTCTACTGTCTGGAAGCCCAGACCTACCAAGTTCAGACCGTTCTTTAAAACTACCCTGCTGTGCCCACCCTCACGGGTGGCAGGTCCCTGAACTTGGACATCAAAAGGCAAAAACGTGTCCTCCCTACTCACAGGGCTGTTGGGGACAGAACGAGGCAGTATGTTGGGAGGAGTACAAGGAGAACGTTTAAGGTATTTGCTTTTTCTTTAATTATAAGGATCATATAAGTTCATAGTAAACAATACAGAAGAAAAAAGAAAATGTAAAAATTGAAATCACCATTGATTGTCCAACCCAGAGAAAATACTCTTAACACTGTTTTATCTTCTCTGTTTGTAAGAGAAAACAAAGTGTTAATGGCTGTAAATAGTGCAGTGGAAAGATGTACTTTCATACATGTAATATAATACATAAGACCTTGCTCTACTGTTAAAGTTGTTTCGGATCTTCTCATTATTAAAATAAGCTGGGATGATATCTGCATAAGCCGTTATGCCCTGATATCTTTAGCAAGCTAGATTTCTGGAAGACAAATGTTCAGGTTAGCAGAATATTTTCAAGGTTCCTGATTCATACTGCCAAGCTGATGGTCAGAAAAAATCATACCAATAGGGTTTAATAATATTATATAATAATAATGATATAATAATACCAATAGGGTACATAATAAGGGTGTCTATATACTTGCAAGGCACGAAAATGTCCATTTCAACGGTGCAGGACTCTTTAAGGAAAAAGTTCCTTACATATTTGATGAGGAAAAATTATATCTTACTATGTATTTTGTTTTTGATAACTCTTGTGCTTTAATGTTTTTTCAAGGTTTCTTGACAATTTGTATTTCTTTTATAAAATGCCTTTTTTGTGCTTTTTGAGATACTTGTGTTTTCAAATTTACAAGAATCTATGATATTTATTTCATGTACTTTAAAACATACAGCCAATTCTATTAATGTTTTCCTTTGAGGTTCCTCCATTTGTGTTTATGCTTAGAGAAGATTTCACCAGAAATCAAGCAAATAGAAAAGACAGACCTGGGTTTGTAACCAGAAGACGTAATTTATGTCTTGATGTCTAATCTTAGTTGGTACGTGACTTCGAGCAAGTAGCTAGTTTCAAAGTTATACCAATGTGAGCTAAATGTGTAGCTGCTTATGTTTATACCTGCAAATGTCCTCATTCTAACATGTTTTAACTCCGTACATCCATCAGCTTGAGAAAGAAAAGCGGCTCAGAGCAGCCTGAGGAATGTGAGGTATGCAGAATTTATCAGGTCCAGAGACACAGGAGCATGCGACTCCAGTCACATTCCCGCACCCATGCCCAGGGTAATTGTATAAAGGCATTTTGTTTTTCTTACCTTCCCTGTAGTTTCCAGACTAGCTGATAAATCACCTAAAATGTTAACCACAAGTTGCACAATGTGACGCTCATCCATTATCTCCATGTTTTTAGATTTTGTGACACAAAGAGCGATGTAGAATCAGCTGATAGCTTACCATTTTAATGAACCAATGTAAATTATTAGTAAATAACTTAGGAAGTGCCCCCAAATTCTTTTCTCCCCTCCTTTAAAAAACCCAGTTGTCACTGCTGCTAATCGGAGCATCTATTCAGGACAACTGGACTGTATGACTTCTGGGCTGCAATCCTCAATCTTGGTCCAAATAAACTCCCTACTTAAATTCATTTTGCCTCTGTTTCTTCCTTTAGGTCAATATTTCTGGCATAGCTGGCAGGGTTCAGAGCAACACCACCCTTTACCCCCCCAATTACCCACAGTCTCCTCCTGAACTTGCTGCACGAACCCACTGTGTTCCCCTAACTCCAGAGATTTCACTGGGGGCAAAGGGTGAGTCTTTCTGAATCTGGCCCTCCTTTCCTTTAGGTTGAGGTCCAGAGTTTGGGGGGCTTCTTTATAAACTCTCTCATTTAAGAGCAAGGGCTTCCATTTCTGTCCCTGGACAGGACATTCAGGCGAATGGCTGCGCAGAGGACTTCTGTTTTCTCAGCCTCTGCCTCATGAGAGCAGGTTTGGCTTACGGTCTTGGCCATCCAGCACTAGTGGTTTGACTTTTTCTTGTCCTAAAATTCCATCACAGGCTTTAAAACTTGCGTCTGTTTCCCACTGATTGTAATTTGGACTTCTCATTTGTGACCAGCTCCTGCTAAGTCTCAAACAGATAGGTGCCTGAGGGTGAGTTTTCTCGCCCCAAAGTTAAGGGAGACTTGCTCCCTCCGAACCCACTTGGGTGCTCTGCGGGGCTAGAGACTTTATGGACATTCATTCATGGCACGTAGTTGTCTCCCTGAAAGAACAGCTTCTTCTGAGTTTGCCGCTGCAGCAGTGGACTAGTCACTTAAACAAAAACCAAAGGAAAAAAACCTCCCAACAGGGCTGCTCTGAAGGGCAAAAGGGGCCTCTTCCATTCCCCTTATTAACTCATTAGAAGTGAACTTATGGATAAATGGAGAACAGATGTGTGCCCCCACTGATATCAGATATCAGAGCCACCATCTGTTCTCAACCCACCACAGTAAACTGGACATGGTGGAGGCATCTAACCAAGCCATGACTGCTTCTAAGTCCCAACCTTTAAAAGTTCAAATAGAGCCACTTAGCGGCCTTCATTCCTTTAGTCCTTCTTGGTAGAGATTTCTTAGAACTCTATAATACCTGCATCTCCTTTCACTCCACACCTGGACTGCAGAGGAACAGCCACAGGCACAGGTACCCTGAGAAAAATGTCCAGAAGATAAGCCTGGAATGTTCCATTAGGGAGGGAATATGTGCATTTTCTATCTTGGGTATTGGGAGGGAGATGCCTACTAAAGAGAAACAGTGATAAGGTTGCCCCAAAAGAATACATGAAAGACTACTCCAAATGCTACTGTGAGGGCTCACCTACCTTCCAGCGGCCATATCTGTCAGCCAGGAGGCCAAAGAGGATACTGAAAACCATGTAGCCAAAAAACACCATCTGCAAGTGGGAGCGAGACAAAACGGTTCTCTAAGCAGGTTTTAGATGTTACTTTACCCCATTCGCCATTTTCACTAGATGTAGGCTGGAAATACGTGAAGGATGGAAGTTAATTTGAAGAACAGGGTTTCACAAAGCACTTGCTTGCCCCTGAGGCCCTTCATGTTCAGAATTTCGGAGGCAGGCTTTTATGATCCCTGTTGGCGGGAGCCTAACAAGGGAGACACTGCCTCAGGTGGAAACGGGGTCCTCTGAGCTGCCGCCCACCTGTTGCTAGAGGGCGGCTTCGGCTCCACTCGGTTCAGACGTGTACTTGTGAATTTCCACTATAATTTTTAAAAATGTCCGTTCATGCGCTGCCTTATTCAATACAAAAATTGGGGCCACTAGAAGCAGTCTCCCTTTATGTTATTACAGATAAACATAACTTTAACCGCCACGTCCAATCGCTCATTTAAAAAACTCTTCAGAACATATATAAGTCCTAAGATAAACCTACTTCTTTTCCTTACTTGTTCTCACAATGGCCTGTCCTCCCCTGATAAAATTCAAGGACCTGGGATTTGACACTACGGCTTTATTTATTATAACTTGGCCTGAGTCGTCAACTGCTGTCTGCGCCTCTGGGCTCCTTATTTTCCTGCCTTCAAGAAGTTCAGGCTTCACTGCAGCCCTGACTGACGGCCTCCAGGGCAAGCAAAGGAATGCTGTTAGCTCGCATTTCTAGGGGAAAACAAAACAAACCAGAAACAGCCCTGTTTCCCTTTCGCTGTCGCTGTTCTGCTTCTTTTCTCCTTCCCCTCACTCTTTGGAAGAAAGACTGAAATGCAGTTCTCCCACATGGAACCATGTGTTCATCATATATATTCTTTCACGACAAAAGCCACGACTGGGCCCTGCGCGCTACACTTTCTAGGACAGAAATGTTCCGTAACCCTGTTAGACTGCAGAGACAGAAACCTGTCCGCTCACTGGGGCTCCGGCTCTCCCTCTCCCTCCCTCCCTCGGATCCTCAGAGACGCCCCTTTCTTGTGCACCCTCCCCTACCTCCTCCCTCCCCCACCCTCTACCCGGAAGACGTCCTCCCTCCCTCACGCGCCCCACCTAGCGCGCCTGAGCCCCCGTCGGGCGCGCGCCTATCCCTCCAGCGCCCGTGAGCCCCCATCGGGGATGCGCCTATCCGTCCAACGCCCTTGAGCCCCCATCGGGCGCGTGCCTAACCGTCCAGCACCCCTAATCCTCCATCGGGCATGCCCCTGACCCTTCATCGGGCGCGCGCCTAACCCTCCAACGCCCGTAATCCTCCATTGGGCACGCCTGTGACCCATCGGGCTCGCGCCTAACCCTCTGGCACCCTGTATCCTCCAGCAGGCGGGCGACTAACCCTC